AATTCATTTTTTAGGAAGGCATTAGAAAAAAAAAGAAAAAGAAAGGTAGAAAAGAAAAGAAAAGAAGATTAAAATCAGATTTTCAAAAAAAATAAGAAAAAATTAAAACTTATCCACGCGCGCGTGTAAGCCATGCACGCATCATCTTCCTACTCGTACATGGCCATGGACGAGGCCATAGTACCAGAAATTGCAGCAACCATTTCTTGTCCTATTCCACTTATTTTTTGATTTTTTCTTTTTCCCCAATTCTTTGCCACCTCAACCCCTTTGATCTCTATCAAGATTTTTCTAGAATAAAAGCCATCTAATGGCTCAAAATTCCTAAAGAAACCTAGCTTTCATCCTCACATTTGAGGTGAGGGTTTTGGGGGGGTGGTTCTTGTTCCTATAAAAGGGCTTGAAAACGCAGCCTTAGAGGAAGAAAACAAAAGGGGAGGCAGCGAAAAAATAAAAAAAGAAGAAAAAGAGAGAAAACAAAGAGGGAAAAGGAAGAAAAGGTAGCAGGAAATTTTCCAGAAAAACCTGAGCCAGGGCTGGGCAACCCTATTTAGACACCATTTTCTTCTTCGTCTTGACTTCTTTTGGATCGATTCTTGATTTTTTGGATACTTTATGGATGTAGTAGAGGAGTTTTCATGTCAAAAGTTTCCTGAAAAAACACTTCCGAAACATTCAAATTCAAGCATGAAGTTGCCAATTTCTTAGCTCTTAAACTTCTGTGACAAGAAGAGTTTTGCTTCACTTTCAGAATCTGGGCACGTTTCACTATGATTTCTAGCATCTATTCTAGTTCTCTAACTTCCTCAGGTAATTATAACCCTCTTTCTAGGTTGTTCTAACATTTTTCATGTGTTTTTCAGCTATTACATGAGTTTTACGGGTTTTTCATCTTAGATCTTTTTTTTTCTCATGATTTTGTTGTTTAAATGGTGATGTTTGATGTTTAAATTAACTTAAAAGATCATGAGGAGTATGTTTATGTCAAGAACCAGCTTTAAAAGCCGATAAAAATGGATTCCGGCGAATTTTCGGCCACGGGTCAACCCGCTGGAATGTTCTTCACCTATTTTCTTTCTATTCTCTTCTGATTTTATTTTATTTGTTTTACTTGATTTGATCTGATCTAGCCATGATGGGTTGATAAAACATGTTTTAGGTTTAAAAAATTTGGGCCGAGATTTTCTTTTCTGCGTGGGTTTGTGACTGGGCTTGGGGTTCTTGCCTAACCCTTTTTCACCAGGCTTAGTTTAGTAAAATTAGTGGGCTGGTTCACTCCTTTTCGATTTTTTGCTTCGGCCAAAGTGGATTTCAACCCAAGAAATCACAAAAAAATGGGCCTTTTGTCTTAAGAAACCAAAAGACAATTTTGCAATTGAGTCCTTAGTCCTTTGAGAAATTTCATTGTAGCCCTAAAAGTTTGAATTTCTTTCAATTAAGTCCTTAATTTAATTATATTTTGGTCCCTAAACTTTATTTTTCTTTGCTTTTTATCCCTGATTTTTATAATAATTATAATTAACCCCAAAAATTTCTTAATTTTTATAATTAAGTCCCTAATAGTTTTGATTTCTTAAATATAAGTTGTTTATCTTCTTTAATTGTTAATTATACTTCATTTAAATGCTTTAATTGGTAGATTTCATGGTCATTTCCACTTCTTTATAATTTATTTGTTAATTAAATTGGTGCCTTGACCATTTTGTTGATTTTGGAGTATAAATAGGACAAATCATTATTTTAAATCCTCTTATGTGCTCCTATGTATTTTTTTTTATGTGTAATTGCATGTTTTGAGTGTTTTTTCCTTTAATTACTCATTTTATTCATTTTAAGTTTCATTTATTCTATTTAATTTTGATGAATATTTGAGAGGCATTTAAATGTTAATTTGTAATAGATAGATGTTCAAAACATGTATTTAGCTGAACTATGTATTAGACAGGTTTTAATTTTTGTCAAAAATATAATTAGTTAGATAAATGTAATAGTTAGATTATTATTATTTTTTTTAATTTCCCTCTTAGATTGTAGTTAGGACTTCGAATGTAATAGTTAGATTTTTATTTGCGTTTATTTGCTTGTGTGCTTACATCTTTATTCGCTTTCACTAGAGTTTTGCATCTAAAAATTATGCCTATATGTTATGTGTTCTATATGCATTATCTGTTTACTTGTTTTAATTATATTTTATATGATTTATTTAGTTATAATAAATGCATGACGTCACCACACTAGTTCAACGCTAGTTGTGGTCTTTCTCCCCGATTTCTCACTAGTCCAACGCTAGTAAAAATTTGTAGAAATAAACTAACCCAATGCTAGACCCTTTAGGCCATTTTCGCGCTAGATCCACACTTTTTGCGTGACATTCATCGCATTTCATACATATTTTTCATTTTTAGGATATTTTCTGATCTTGCATGATATTTCCTCTATATATTATCTCCCTTCTCCCTATATGCGCAAAACATGATATTTAGACTTGCATTCCATTTAGAAAATTAGATATAGGTTAGTTTATTTGCTTGACTAGATTAAAAAAATCACCCTTCAAATATAAGAAATGAACGAGTATAGTTTCTTAGATTTAGCATGCTCGTATCCCCTCTTTGAAAAGGAAAATTGAGTCACGAATTTTAGTCCCTCATATCCGTTATGTTGCATTCATCTCCTTTAGATCACGTATATTCATATATTATAATTCTTATTTTCTTCGAATATCATCTTTTGCATATTCGTGACCTCTTTAAAGAATCATTTTTAGGCATCACAATTAATGTGATTAGTTTTAATTAAATTTTGAAGCGACATTCCAACCCTCCCGATACTCCGTAGGTTTAGATTTGCATCCATATAAAAACATTCTAATGTGATAAGTTTTATAGGTTAAACTAAGAAAATTTCCAACTAAATCTCGCAACTAGCCTTGGTTAGATTGAAATGGTACCTTAGGTTTGATTCTATTAAATCTTTGCCTTCCCTTTCTTTAACCGTAACTCCCGAATTCTCTTCTCTTGTTTTCAAAGACCTGAGTAGCCTAAAAGGGGTTTTATTTTTTATTTATTTATTTACAAATATTTTGGGTGATTTGATTCACCTAAAATCAATACCAAGCGGTGATTCCCATTTTTCTTAAAAATTCCTTTTTAGACTATTATTTTGGACCAAAACTATCGCATATTTTAGGTCCCATATTAGGCTCTTTTTCTTTTCTTTTCTTTATTTATTCTTTAAAATAAAAAATTATTTTTTAACACCTAAATTAAATTTTATTTCAAAAATGAGGCGTGACAACCTTCATGCTTGGACATGTTGTCCCTACTACTTTCCATTCTCTTCAACAGATATAGGTAAATAGTTTGTAGCATTCCTATGATAGGAAGTGATCTTGCTTTCAATGTCACTGCGTTAATTCGCACATGTTATTCACTAAAATGTCAGTGTCAAATCCATCTCTAAACTGGGATCTCCAAGATGTAGGCTCTTTTTCATCCAACCAGGCATGCGCAAGTGTAGATTCTTGCTTCATAACCTCTATTTTAGCTCTAAATTGGTTCACGTAAGATGCTTAGGCACATCTCCAAATCCTCTCTTTTAGAGTTAAACCTCTGTGGTTCATCTTGAAGTTTGTGTACAAGTGTTAAATACAACATCTATGCTCGGCCAATAGCAGCTTGCCTTTAACTGCTTGAAGAAGTCCCTAGTTCACATAAAAACCTCAAACTATCAGTGAACTTAGCAGTATAGTAAATAAAAAAATATCTAATCAACTGCTAGAATGACAAACTTTGTTACAACAAGACAAAGATGCCTTTGCTTGTCGATCATTATGCACCAATTGCAGGAATTCATAATTTCTAGGTCCTAGACAAGCATCCCTAGAAACCAACTCCAATTGATGTAGTTCTCCACACCAACCACTGCTATAGCCATTGAATACATCTTATCGTCAGCATCCACGCCCACAGTTGATAATAACCGACCCCCATAGGGGCCCTTTAGGAAGCACCCATCCAAACCTATCCAGTGCCTACAACCTATTAAAAATCCCCTCTTCAATGGCTCTAATGTGAGGACCAGAAATTTTTTATTTTATTTTATCGAATATTAGTAGTTTGTTTAAATATTTATTTACTCATTTTTCTCCAAATTATTTATTTCGATCATTTAAAATCCATTTATATGGAACGACGCCTCTTTTATATTTTTAAAAGCGTTTTGTTGGAAAAATTCACTTTTCGAAAACTCGTTTAGTTCGGAACAACGAGTGCACATTTTTCGAGACTATATTTGAATCGAGAGTGTATTAATATTGGAGAATTAAGAACGATCAATAATAGATTAAGAAAGGTTAATTAAGGAATTAATACTCAATTCGCGTGAGGACTCGTAAAATTATTATTTTTAAACCCCTAATTTTGGCTCAATTAATTATCTATTTGGATTTTCGCCCCGAATATTATTTTCTATCCTTATTAGACCTAAATATATGGTTTTATAGTTTCGTTATATTTCTAAAGTATCTCATTTTAAAAATAAATAAAATAAAAATATAGATAAATAAACAAATATTTTCTTATAAGCTTGTTTAGCGAAAAAGTGAAAACGTGTCTAAACACTTTAGCCAATTGGGAGTACAATAATCTCAAAAATTTGAGACCTATACAATGGTCCTAAAATAGACAATTTTAGGTTTAAACACACAAGTAATAGCTAGTGGTACGATCGTTATAAGAATTTCTCAAAGGTTTCAATTTTATTGCGCCTAAATTAGAAATACGTGTTTTCACGTGCGCGCTTAATTGGGGGACTTTGGACCATTATTTTGGGACAATTAAGAATGAATAATATTTATATGAATGTAAGTGCCCTAGAGGTTTAGTGCACTAGTGCAACAAACGTAAGAGAAATCGAACACAAAACGCGCACGTAGGGCACTAGTTGTAATTGATTTGACGTATTTAAAATATTAGACGTCAAGCGTCTTTTGTACGCAAAGGAAACCAGAACCGCATCTCATTTCTTCTAGCTGCAATGGACGGATAGCTTCAGCCGAAACAGCTTCACCATTCCTTCTACAAATTCACCAAATCACTACCAAAACCTCCATAGATTCAACCAAAACTTCACATACACTTAACTCTACACTTGGACAACACTTTAAGCTGAAAAAGGGAGGAGCTTCACGGTTTTCTTCAGGCTTCAAAGGGACCGAAATTTTCTGATTTGAACAACCATCAAAGTAGGTAATGATCAACTACCTTAAACTTGTCTTATGGAGGTTGATTTATGCATTTGAGCTGAAATCTTCACTTTAGTAGCTTGTATTGTTGGAAAAAAAGTGGGCTCTATGAATTCCCACTCTTGGGTTGTTGCTGATTTTGTGCTTGATGAAGTTTATGATATCGGATCAGTGTTTAAGTTAGTGATTTGTTGAAGGAAAACTGCTGGAAACTCACGTTGAGTGCAATGGCCAAGTTTGACCATTTTGCCCCTGTTTGTTCGGCCACTTTACTGCAGATATTTGAGGATTTAATGGCTTGATTGTGTTGTTTACATGTTGTAGAAGTTGTGTACAAAATTTCGTTGAAAAATATTGAGTTTTGGTTGATCAAAAGAATTTACTTTCCAAAGCTAGTAATCTGGAAACGGTTGCCGTCGTAACCAGACCAGTGTTCGTGTTTCGTCCATAACTCCGTACTCCGAAGTCGAAATCGAGTGCCGTTAGCGGAATTTCAAACTAGACGTTCCCATGTTTCCAACGGTGTATAATGCACATTCTGGTTCCATGTGTGTGAACCGCACCATTCATCTGAATTCAGTTGTCCTGTCTCTCCGTTCTGCCGAAATGATTTGATGATGCTGCAACTTTAGGCTTAATTTCGAACCAGTTGCATGCTGAAACTTGTAACGATTTCTTCTGTGAAATTTTAGCCCTGTGAATGTATTTTCTAACACTATCAACCATTCCCAATTCTGAGTTAAATTGAGGGAGTTATGATCAAAATACGGCGACTGCCTCGTTTTTGAAAATCTTAGATTTAGACAGATTGCCTTAAGGATTTTTCCAAACTTTGGTTGATTGATTAACCACCTTTCCGAGGGTATTTTTCCCTGAAATTTGATAGAGAGATACCCTTCATATGGGAGTATTATATTGCAAAATTTGGTGTCAATCGAAGTCCGTTTCGACACTTAATAAAAGGTCCAAAGTCGGAACCAAATCTGGAAATTTGTTAACAGTTTTGAAATTTACCCAACTTTGAACTACCATATCTTGGTGCTCGAAACTCCGATTCTCGATCCGCTTGTTCTGCCCTAAACCTTACTTACACCTCTAATTGAGCTACAAATTTTAAGGGCTGGTTTGCAACGAGTGAATTCTGTTGAATTTTCAAAGTTAGCGAAAAACCAACCCCGGCTCAATTCTGGGTGATTTGGAACAGCAATTTTAAGCTCATTTTTGAATACCTTCCACTTAGATTCATGGAAAAGTGTCTTCTAAGAACTTTTAGTACTTTGGAAGAGGTTTCCAACGGTACCAAGTTTTTCAATTTTCGACATGTGGAATCTGAGATACGATTTTTTCAAAATATCGTATCAAAACTGAAATTTTCTGAATTTCAAGGAAATGGAGTTTTTCAAGTATTCCTTATTCCTTCGATAATACTTGAACGTTTATGCTTGATTTCCAAGATAACAAAACTCGATTGCTCTTGTACATTAAGAAACTCCACTTGAATCTCGATTTACTAGTAATTGAGGTTCATTTTCATGAAATTTCCCCAGATTGTACTAGTGCACAATCTTCCTTGATAATTGGGATGTGTGAATGATAATTCACTATTAAATGCTCAGGCGCTCAAGAGGACCTTCCAGAGGATCTCACGGAAGACGCCTAAACCATCATTTGAACTCGCTACTTGAATCACTGTGAGTGTCAAGTGCATGAACTTGTTGTTAAGTGGTTATCTGTTTCTTATCCGTTATGTAAATTTGAAATTTTGAGACGATGGTGTACTTTATCGCACTCGTTCTCTTTCAAATGAAATTATATTCGAATTTTGCTATGTGAATTCGTATCCGACTTGTACATGGTAATGTGGATGTGATTTGTACTTGTGATTCGTATATGTGATTCGTATTTGTGATTCGTATTTGGAATTGTCGATTTGAGCGTTGCTCATCGACTTATATTCGTATTCGTATTCATATTCGGGGGACGCCCAAAACTCGTTGGCTAACTTTGCGAATCGAACCAGCATGGGCTTGGTCGATAAGCTTAGCAAACCATGAGATATTCGTAGAGTATGATCTATTGGAGAGATCTTGCTCGGCATTACTCGTGCAGTATTGCCATGATATACTCGAGTATTATCAAAAACTTTGATTAGCGGGCCCGGTAAGGAGGTGTTATGGTGACGGGATTCGAAGAAAAGTGGTGTATCTACGGATTTGATACTTATGTGGTTGACGGAGTGTCAACGTGAGATGTGATCAAGATTTCGACTCGACTACGTGGAATTTAGCTCCTGAGAGCTACAGTATCCTTGAATTGTTTCTGTTTATTTTTCCTATTCGAAATGTGAATTATTCGAATTTGATACCCTTACCTATAATGTAATTGTTGTTGCTACTTGGATTATGTGTTTGCATGTGTATTTTCTTGGCCTCACTGAGTATTGACTCATCCTATTAGTTTGTTTTCCTTAACAGGTTGGATTGGAAGATTTTGGTAAAGCTGACTAGATTATACTTTTGATTGGAATCGGGGCTGTAAATGTGTAGTCGACTTTTAATGGTTGCATTTTGGAACTTGATGTATCTTTTGTAGACATGATGTAAGATTTAAATATTTAGTTAAGGAAGCGACTTTTCTTTATTTTGACTCATAGTATTTGGTATGTATCGTTAAGTTCGATTTGATTTGTCTTGAGTCCTGGCGAGAGTTGGACAGGCGTCCCGCGGATACCCTTGGGTTCGCCCTTGGAAGAAGTGGGGGGCGTCACATCTAAGCACATATAGAGCCTTTTGAACCTGGAAATGCCATCTTCTTCTTCTTTAGTTTCATCAAACATAGTCAAACCTGGATTTGTCCTTCTCAATTCATTACAAAAGTCCTCCAACATATTGTACTGTTTCTAATGAGACCCTTGCATAGCTGTCCTCACTTTCTACGATGTCCTATAACCTTGTTTCAAAGAAAAATCCACATTTAGCTCTACATTCACCTTCATCATGAGCTCATGAACATTCATCGATGGGATCTTTCTAACCTCATCAAGAAATAATTTAATTGCTAGCCTAGAAGTCATATTTTTATTGTAGAACACTCTTCCACAACTATGCTCACCAGAAAGAGTTTTAATTTGGAAGGTACTCTCACCTTGCATGTTAGAAACAAACAGCTCCCTATCACATCATCTACATGTTGCCTTTACCCTTCTTGTGTCATTCATCTTGAAGTATACGTCTCTTCCTTCTAGAATGGCATGTATTCTAACAGCCAATCTAAATATTACCATAGAAGTAAACTTTTGACCAACTTTGAGTTGTGGCTTTTTCAGGTCCATTTTCTCATTAAAAACTAGCAACTTTGGCCTCTTTCTTATTCTCTCACTATCTTCATTTTCTGATTCACTTTCACTTTTAAGCTCCTTGGATGCATCTGATTCATACTCAGACTATATGCCATCAACATTAACCATGTTCAGATCTTTGTATGCATTGACATCTATGGCAGGCTCCTTCTCCTTGCCCCTCTTCTTCCTTGATTTCTGGTATGCAGCACTTATTCCAGCTTCATTTGCATTTTTATGATAACAAAATTGTTGCCCTAATTTTATGCATTCATCAATTACATCATTATTCTCACCAGCTATTTCATAATCCGACTATTCCAATCGTCTTTGTGATGGGTTCTCAATATAAATGCAAGTTTAATCCAAAATATACTCGTTTGATTGCAAGTATACAAGTCAAATAGTAGTTTAGGGCGTATATCGGGTCAATCCCACGATGAGCAACTATTATAAGTACTAGATCCTTTACTTACTCTATTATTTAGACTATCTATCAAATGAAGGCAAAAGAAATAACAATACTTGCTATCTAACTATTTTAACTAAATAATTTGCAAGATAACAATGAACAAATTTCACTAAATACTTGAGTCTAAAGAGATAGAGTCCACTTATGGCGCAAAGATATAAGTGAATAAATTTACCTCTTGTTACTACTCTTGTTTAACTAGAGATTCATTTCCAAATTTCGCAAAACTCACTCTCATGATGTAGTGGTTTAGAATAGTTTAGTTTTTCCTATTCTTATGATGAATAACTGGATCTACTCTTTGTTCTTTATGAAATGCAAAGTTAATCCACTTAAGTGTACCTCTATTCTTATTAGTCTACTCCTTAAGCTCCATTTATATTGTTCCATCATTATTACCAATTTTCATTGTATAATAACAACTAAAAACTTACTATTGGTGATCAAGCAACAACAAGTAGTAAGCATGCATAAATGGACAAGTTAATGCAAGATATAACAAGTGTAAATCAAATTCACTTCATATCAAATAGCCATAAGTTTTATCTACTTTCTAAATCTAGAAATTTAACTACTCATGTGAAATAAGACAATAAAAAGCATAACTTCATTGCATGTAAACATAATGAATCACAAGTAAAGAAAAAGATAGAGAAAGCTTAGCTAAAATGATGAACAAGCTCCCAAATCTTCTATTTCGTTAACAAAATGAATGATACAATGAATTCTCCAAATTTTTCTTATAAGTTTCTAACTAGAGAGAATGAGAAAGAATTAAAACTAATGTCTACCAAGAACTACCAAGAATCCTCTCTCCCGTCAATGATTCTTATATATGTATTGTTAAGAGGGTCAAAAAATGGTTAATGATAAGACAAAAACTCCTTTTCTCTTCCTTAAGGAATTTTGAGCATGTGCAGCCAAAATTATGAGGTAAAATTGAGCTGAAAAGCAGTGTGAAAATAGAGCAAGTTGCAGAACAAGTTGTAGAAAGACAGGGGAGAATACGCGATCACTCAATATGCAACCTAAGGCCACGTATTGAGGTCTCGTATTGCCTTCTAAATTGTTTTCTACTCCAATTCCTCACTAATCATTATGCCCAGATGCTTGTTCATGCAATGCACCATTAATACTTGCATTTGATCTTCTACTTTCTGAATTACCATTGAATCAAGAGTTAATGACTTCGAATCGAATCCATCTCAATCCAACGTTGAGTGTTCACCTCAATTCCTACAAATATAACCAATTTTTGCACATTAGGTTGCTCAAATGAAACTTGCAAAATTTAGAAGATTAGGGAGTAAGTTATATCTTAAATCATCCTAATTTATACAAAAACACACACAAAATGCTACTAATATCCATATATAATAAATACTTATCAAATTTCCCCATACTTAAATCATTATTTGTCCTCAAACAATAAGAAAAATAATCTAACAATGATTTAAGAAGTGAGACGAATCAAGTGAATTTAAATATCAATTTCTCTCGACTAGGCAAGTTTTCATTATGCAACCATTCATATCACTCTCAATACTCATCATATCATGCAAAAGAGAGATAATTATACCCAAAATTTAATCTAACAAAGTCAATCTCTCTCTTTCTCTCTCTCACCTACTCTCACAAATAACTAACCTAGATAGTCACCTTAGAGTTTCTTCCTTTGAAATGAAATGTTAACTTTACAAACTTTAAGAATGAACTATTCACTTTATTTCTCTTTTATTCATTCTTGAAAGGGTGAAAATGTCTTTTGACGCGAAAATCGATATTTTTAATGAAGATCCCTGATTATTCGACACTTCACTTATTACTCCTTAATTCAAATACCTTTTTACGTGAAAGTCAACATTTTTAGATGAAAACTCTTGATTACTCAATACAAGAATTTGTTGGAGCTCTTTTTTTTTTTTGAACAATTCCCTCAATAATGTAGATATAAGGAAGAAAATAGTTTAACAACTATATAAATCAATTAAGATGACAGATTTCATTTATCATGCAAAATTATAGGCATAATTTTTCCTATTTTACAAGATACACTTTCTCACATGTAATAATCCTAATCACATAATAATTTTTCCAAGTTGAGTGAATATTAAAATTTCAAATTACTTACTTCATTTCACTCATATAGGAGAATTTGAAACAAAAAGGAACTTAAATGTCATACATTTGTGAAGTCAAGTGAAGTATATATGAAAATTTTGGGGGCAAAAGTGAAAATTTTGACAAAATTTTGACAGAGTTTTCCTTTAAAACAGGACGAAAACTCCCTGCTAGCAAATCCAAACATTCACAATACAGCCAATTTTTCAATAACATGTCCAAACATTCAAACGCAAAAGTAACTTCTACTTAAGACATTTCTCCCTCCACACTTAACATACACATTGTTTCTAGTGTGTAGGGAAAGAAAATAAAGCAAAATAAGAACAAGTTACTCTCTATTTCAATGGCTGCGGTCTAGTTCAACCTTGAGTCACAAGCCATCGACAATCAACACCAAAATCAAATAAAACTGCCACAAGTCCCCAAGTGCAAAATGATATATGTAAAATTAAACATTATACAAAGAAAACAAGAAAAGAAAACTACTAAAAAACATGGAAGTAAAAGCAAAAGACTTCAATAAGCTAGTGCGTCTTCAATCATCTGTGACTTCATTATCATGAGGAGGTGGTATGTCCAAATAGTCTTCAATCCATCGCATGCGAATGTCCATTGACCCTAACTAATATTCAATTATATCTAAGCGACTAAAAAGCTTCTGCCAATTAGATTGAGGTAGAGAAGGAGGTGGAGCAGTAGTGGAGGGTCCAGTTTCGTCTTGGTCATGGCATGCTTTCTATCATCACTCCTGAGTAGGCGGAGGAAGATGCTTCATAGCAATTCCTATTGCATGAAGTGAAGAAGCTAATAACTCTGTGCTAGGGTAGACAGCTACCCGAGTTATACTATGCAAATTAACTCCTACCCACTCGAACACTAAAGACAGGAGACGGAAAAACGCAAGTTTGAAAGAAGTAGTGCGTCGTCTCACCGTTGACCGTATATAACTGATTATAATGTTCGGTAGTGGGATGCGAGCGTAAGAGGATTTCCGATTATGAAACATGTAGTTTAGAAAATAAATATCACTTTTTCATATATCCCCGTGATCACTCTCTTCTTTGGGATCACGTTATGCGCCATCAAATAAATAATAATATGATGGCGAGTGTAAAAAACGCTAGCAACTATCATCTCTTTCTTTGAGGAATGGAAAGGTTGGTACTTGAGACCAAACTTAGACATGCGTGTGATGGATCCCATATCTTATTGAGAACAATGAATCCTTTCTTCAAATCAATAGCTAGACTAGTGTTATTGCATCCCAATATACGCGCTAGGAGATCACGAGTTAAGTAAATCCGAATACCGTACGCTCATGAGTTTACCAACTTTCCACTGTTACTTGCCTTGTTAACAATGCTGGCATAGAACTCATGCACCCAACCAAATTGGGTGCATGAGTCGGCATAGTAATGAGTCGGCAAAATGAGAATCGGCACCCAACCAAATTGGGTAAACGCCTCAGAAATATGATAAACCGTCTCAATTTTCGAACTAACATGCTTTTCAAAAATGAATTCCAAGTTAACGTGTGTTTCGTACCACTCTTGATTCCTCCAAGTTGAAAACCTAGCAGTATCACAAACATCGGTCTCAGCGCATCTAGATGTACTCCCCCGTTGACGCCTCCTTATAGGTTGGGGCGAAAAAGACTATTCTTCTTTACTTTTTTCGAATTCCTTACTCACCTCCATCTCTTCGCTTCCTTCACTATTCTTGGTGCTAAAGGAAGAAGGCTCGTGAATAACAAATTTTTTTCCGTATGTCATGGTATCTAAAAAAAAAGTATAATTAATTTCTTATATCAGACCAAAACTTTGCACCCCTCACCTATTATATAAGAAGTAATTCTTATAAGGGAGAACT